GTCAGATAAGGAACAAGTGTCACGTAGAGTGCAAAAATGAAGGTGCAATGAGATCACTGCGGTAAAAGGAATAATAAGTATTCAAATAGATTTAAGGTGTCAGTGATTATGGAGAGAATAGTATAACCCGGGACAGATTGATTCCTCTAATACTTGCTAATATTTATGGAAAGCATAAGTTGGAATCTGCTACGTGAGATAATGCAAAAAAGTGAGGGTATGACAGTATCTGAGGGAATGTAAAGGATAATTACTATTGGAGTTCGTTCTGTTGTAGTCGCGAGTCTAACTGCATTCGCACGAAAGCACGTATTAACGTGGAACAAGCAACTGAGCGGTACCCAACCATTGCTTTCTCAAGCGTACATTACAAATTACAAGGACATTACAAAATGCCAGATTTTCGCAACACAAAATAAACCGCAGTTTTTCGTATTCACAGGTGGTATTATACGTACGGTGTTCTGATGTTCGTTACAGAATCCGTTTGAGAGCACTCTATCACGACTCCTTTAAGACTAGAGGTAGTTGATTTCCGCACTGCTACTAATCGCGTGTTAGGTTAGAAGTGCCACAAAACTGACCTGTTGGTGAAGGCATGAAGGTTGGAAGGAAGTTAGTTTAATACGGACCTATAAATAAATGTGAAAAACCAACACGTAATGAAATTATGTTAACCAAAGTGAAAAAAAACGGCGGCCGGCTTATTTCATCATTTTGGTACGTTCATTAGAAAAATAGCAAGGAACGGTTAGATAAATTTGTTAACCCCACTTATCACATGGAGGTTTTCATGCTTTCCACAGCAACTGAGAAGGTGTTGATCGTGAAGGGGATACTAAGATGTTTCTACTGCTGAAAGGAATGAGGCGCTACTAATTGTATAACTGGTAAATCACTCCTATGACGCAAGAAAAATAACGAGTCGTGAGTGCTTAAAATATAGCGCTTCAACAGCACATAAAATATTTCGCCATACAGACAGGAATCGAACCACCAGCAATGTGCGTCGCAGTGTGCTACTAGATTACACACGCCGTCTAAGCCATATCTGAACTCCGCTACCGTCAGTGGATTTCAGAAACAAAGAAAAGGTAGCAATTTTAAGGAAAACGAAAGAAGGTAAATAGAAAAATGGTTAAAAAAAGATAGGTGAAGAATAAATAGAGACAAAATGGTGTTCGGTTAAGGAACACATACACTCACCGAAAGACCATTGAAAAAGGTATTCTCATGGAATGTACTTCTTCCAGTCGAACGTTGTTTCTTTGACCGTGAGTAAATTGAGAATTAATTATGGTTGTTGATGGAAGCGACGTGGATGGACATCCACGTGTTACAGCAGGAAATTATGGCTTGTGACATCGCTGATGGCATAGCTCAATCAAAAATGATACGAAGTCCAGCTTTGTCGACTTGCAGAGAAGCGAAATTTACCACTATCGCTTCGCCAACAGCTTATCCGTGGCTTACAGAAACCACGTTCGCGGCTTATGGAAATACAATGGGAGAAGCCACGGTCAATACCATCTGTTTCCCGTTATTCTTAATAGGGAAACACTGTGAGGGCCTTGAATCAAAAAATGTTTCCTGAAGGAAGGAACGAATTTTGCTTCATTGTTAAAGTTTCACTCTCCTCAACCGCGATTCCTGGCTTTTCCGATTGAGAAGATCTGCGGGTGAATCAACTGTCGTGCAGTTCACACCTACCAACAGTGTCAAATCAACGCGATTGTGTGAAATGTTAAGCCTTGCGGGATTTATTACTTTTCAATAGAAAAGATTCGCAGCGCTCTTCAATTGAATTCTGTCATGAAATTGATCTCCCACAGATTCCGTCCAGCAGGCTTGTTCTTTGCCTTTATCTGTCTGGCAGCAGACACAGTGAACCTGAATCATTGGAAAAAAAAGTTAAAAAAGAAAGGTGGACAAGAAATAAAGATGAATTGGTATTTGCTTAAGGAACACATTTTACAACCATTTCAGACTTTAAATTAACAAATAATACAACAAGAAAGAATAATTGTTTGGAACAAAGAAATGATCATAGGCGTCACTTGGTCCCCTTAGCGAAGAGCGATTATATCTGCCCTCACCTTCTCACCTCATCAATCTTTCTGCGAATCCCCACCTTACATTCGAACAGATACTACTGAAAAACTACTTGTGCTACTCGCATATGCTCTCTGGAAATAGGTACAATCTACTTCATATGCCTTCGGGTGAATCACTCGCTCACTACGGTGTCTTAGTAGGGTATGTTCAAGGGCAGATTCAGCAGCAGTGTTTATAAACTTAGTTTACGTTGATACATCTAATCTTAATCACATTTACTTTAAACTATGTCATACTATTGCACCATTAAACCGTTAGCAAGACGTTTTTCCAAGTTATCGAATTTTGGCCAAATATGGTTAAACGATCTCGTTATAACTGGAACATTTGAAAAAAAATGAACGCCTGTCTTATCAGCTAATTTTACACCAGAGTTGTTCAAGTTTCACGTATTCAAGTCATTCTTCACCAGTTCTTCAAAAGCAGTGCTTTCGTCCAATATAATTATGCAATAACTATAAACTCTTCCTCTTCATCGTTTTTACCTAGCGGTGCCCGTGGAGAAGGAGTTCGATCATTGCAAGAGATCTCGCAATGCAAGTGTGAACATCAGAACCTTCTCCATTTCAATGGATCAAAGATGCTATAGAAAAGCACAACTGCCCCAGAATTCCACTCTTTCATTCGATTCGACGCGACTATCATTCAACGGTATTCATAACGAAGAAGAAGATGGTTAAACAACAATTGAATTTACACCCAGAAACCTCTGCGATATTTGTTGCTTATGTACGTGAGGAAATGAATTGAATGCAGCAAGTGTTGGAGTCGCCACAAGATGTGTGATTTGGGTCGTTTTAAAAAAGACTCCTTTCCATTCACAAAGAGTAGGGATTGTAATTGATTTCAATGGAAAATGCCATGGTGCATGTCACTCGCACTCGGGGAAAACAGTTTGCTCGACCAGCAGTATAACAAGTTAATTACACGGCTGCACACTTCGCATTTAGCACAGGACAAAAGAATAAGTCTAAAAGATTTTTTTTCAAAGAAATTCGAGACACATGGAATCTATTAAATTCTGCATCTATAACGCCACAACAGTTTGTTTCAACTCTGGTATTATCACTATTATGCTGAGATATTTGCAAAACTCTGGACCGCAGGTGTCTGAATGTCGATTTCGACTCTCCAGATCAGTCCCGTTGACGGGTGATTACTGATGGCGCTGATCGGCAAAACTAACTGAGAGACAAGTGAAACGAAAGATCCGCATGATGTGGTGGTGAACGCGTTATTCCCCGGGAAGGACAATAACGCGTTCGTTCCCCAAACGCAGACACCTCCGGTTCGGAGTTTTGCAAATATCTCAGTATTACAGTAGTTATATTCCGCAAAATACCCTGCCGTTAAAAAGAATAGGCAGTAAACGAAAATGTTAAGTTTCTGGTATTATCATTTTCCTGAAAAGCGTAAAACGTATTGAGTTTTAAGCGGTCGCTAAAGAAAGGACCAGTAACAATAACTACAACGTAGAACGACGACAGTGCTATTAGACAAAAGGGTGTTTACTTTTCATGGAGAGAAGATTCTACCGCAAATCTTCGGTGGCATAAGCTTTGCCTAGCGCCATTCATTGTTCATAATATTGAGTCACACCGCATAATTTCGTCGATTAGACCAGTCATTTCTCTCTTCAGCCTTCGAGTCAAAAAGAAATATCTCTTGTAGAAACTCCCAAGTCCGACTTTCTATTAACCTCGGCATTGAGTGAATATATCTTTCTACTTCTGTTCAGCAAACACGAGGTGCTATTTTATTTCTTTATTTACGAACAAGCTGACATTTCGGCGGATTTCGCCTTCCTCAGAACCTGGAAGGGTCAAGTTGACAGCAATCCACTCGGCCAAACACCTCCATAACCAAACAGAGAAAACGCTAAACCAAGATTTCAATCACATTTAGCATAGCTCTGCACACTCACCGCTTTCTATGAAACTTCCACTGAGTTTATCGCGTGAAGACGGACCGCACAAAATTCACATGGAAGCGTAATGTGCCCCTCCCATCAGAATAACAGGTTTATATACTGTCCAATATCACGCGCGATAACAAGGCATTCCTCCCTGCAGTTCATTTTCGGATTCTTGGAATTTATCCAGAATGCCTCTAGAGTTTTGCGCGCTTGTGTTCTCGATTCTTGCGCGAGGATCGTAACCCTTACTTCAAAATCTTCTCCGTTATGTTTCTGCGTGCTATGCGTACCTAGTGGAGTACTTAGCTTACGTTTGCCGACTAGGTGTTCTTTTATACGTACGCAGAGTGGTCTACCCGTTTCGCCAACGCATTCGTCCTCGCACGCTTTACAAGAGATCAGATAGACTGTACCCGAACTCATGCAGTCACCGTCTCTACCATTGGGGCAAATTATGCAATTTTGCGTTGCACATAGACGGTCGTGTAGGCGGTTACGAACTAGCTGGCGCCTTAGATTACTCGGTGGTATTTCGATTATCGTTACCGAATTCTCTAGACTGACCCTTCTTAAACAGCGTTTTATAGCTGCACTTACTTCATTTGAAATAAAGGGCAGTATAAACGAGACCTTGTTGTCGCTAGAGTTATCGTTGGGGTACCTGTGGTTTCCTCTACACCTATCTGGAGCTACGGTTTCGTAGCCATTAAAAATGGCTATTTGCCGTGCCAAGT